TGGATTGCTCCTGGCTTGTGTGATCCTCATCTTGTGTTGGTTGTGCGGCACCCTATTGAGGGTTTGGCGTGTGATGCCAATTAGCGCGTGAACCTCCAAGTGAGTGAATCGCCACAATGAGGACTAGCTTGCCAGCAAGCAAGTGAACCTCGGTAAAAAATCATTGTGTTCATCATTTGATTTCGAGGTGATTGGTCTTCATTGTTATTCACTCTTGTGATTGATTGGTCCCTTCATCTACACGGCGGTATAACTTTCTTGATCACTCTCTTTACATTACCACAAACTAGTTGTCAAGCTCTTTAGTATAGTTAGTTGTGAGAGCTTGCTTGGTTGGTTGGTGTGGCTCTTTAGTTAGCCTTTGAGAGCACACTAACATAGGGTAGTGTCATAGCTATTGTGTGAATAGATACTATCTAAACTAGAATTGTGATAGGTGGCTTGCATTTTGAGTAGGCTAGCGCAACTCTTGCTTCACCTCATAATTGTGTAATCATTTTGTTAAGTGTTGTTATAGAAATTTTTATTAGGCTATTCATCCCCCCTCTAGCCATTAGGACCTTTCATCAGGGCGGCCAAGCAGCCGGTGAGCCTTTGTATGCCCTTGATGTTGCGTATAAGGCCCATGTTGGAGATGGTCGTGATTTTTTTGGGGTTGGCCTCGATGCCGCGTTCAGACATGATGTATCCAAGCAGCTTCCCCTTCGGAACCCCAAAAACACATTTTTCGGGATTCAATTTGATGTTGAACCTTTGGAGGTTCGTGAACGTTGCGGCCAAGTTTGCGATCAGGTCCCAAGCTTGAGCCATTTTGACCACTATGTCATCAACATAGATGGCAATTGTTGGTTTTGGGCGCTCGACTTGGTCGGGCTGGTTGAGCGGGTCTATTTGATTGGCGAAGCATTGCTGCATGCACCGTTGTTAGGTGGTGCCAGCGTTCTTTAGACCGAAAGGCATGGTTACGTAACAGTACGAACCATACGGGGCGATGAATGAAGTTGCGAGCTGGTTGGACTCCTTCATCGCGATCTGGTGATAGGCTGAGTAGGCATCCAGAAAGGATAGGATCTCGCATCCTGAGGTAGAGTCGACTATCTGGTCTATTTGTAGTAAAGGAAAATAGTCCTTTGAACATGCTTTGTTGAGGCCAGTATAATCAACGCACATTTTCCATTTCTCGGTCTTCTTTGTAATAAGAATAGGATTGGCAAGCCAGTCAGAGTGGTATACCTCCTTGATGAATCTGCCTGCCAGGAGTTTGGCGACCTCCTCACCTTTGGCCCTACGCCTCTCATCATCAAAATGACGTAGGCATTGTTTGGCGGGCTTCGAGCCCGGGACAAGATGTAATGCATGCTCGGTGACCTCCCGCGGTATGCCTGGCATGTCAAAAGGTTTCCATGCGAAGACATCATGATTGGCGCATATAAAGTCAGCGAGCTCGCATTCCTATTTGGTCGGGAGCTGGGTCCCGATCCGCACCATCTTGGTTGGGTCAGTGGGGTCAATCCCCACAGCCTTAGTTTCCTCGAGTGGGCGGAAGGCAGTCGAGGAGGTTGGCTTGTTGCAGTCCGGGGCTGCTAGGGTCGATGATTCTCTGAGCCAAGGGAGCTCGGATGAGTTGATGACGGCAGTGGTGAGCTCGTAATGCTCGCAGTCGCATGTATAGGCCTGCGAAAAGGTGCTACCTATAGTGATGACGCCGTTTGGTCTCAGCATCTTCAACTTGAGGTAGGTGTAGTTGGGGATTTCCATGAACTTGGCGTAGCATGGCGCCCCAAGATGGCGTGGTAGGACCCTAGGAAGTCCACCACCTTGAAGGTGAGGACCTTCGAGCAGAAGTAGGCGTGGTCACCAAACATGATGGGCAGGTCGATCTGGCCGAGCGGGTATGCCTGCGTTCCCGGGATCACGCCGTGGAAGGGAGAGCTCAATGGGCGGAGCTCCGACCGGGGGATGCGCATGGTGTCGAGGGTGTCGATGTAGAGGATGTTGAGGTCGCTGCCTCCGTCCATCAGCACCTTGGTGAGGCGCTTCTTGCAGACAATGGGGTAGACAATGAGCGGGTAGCGGCCTGGTCTGGCGATGTGGGAAATATGGTCCCTCTGATCAAAAGTGATCGGAGGTTCTGACCAGCTAAGGAAGAGGGGGGACCATCTCGGCGACGCACCTTTGGGCACTTTGTTGGCGCTTAGAGTAGATGGCATCGGATCAAAGATCATGAAAGGCATTTCGAGAGGACTTCCCCATCCTTGCCCGCCACGCCTTGTAGAGGTGCTTGATGGGGTATGTGTGGTTGGTGCACGGGCTCTCCATGAGCTTGTGTGGAAGTGGCTCTCCATGAGCTTGTCAAGTGGTCACTAGCCTGTTGGTTACTGCTTGATCGTCGCGGTGACCAACGTGGAGTTGGCCGGTCGACGCCGATCCTTTTGGTTCTTTTTGCCCCTTTGCATGGAGGAGCCCTCGTCTTGGTCCTCGCGCTTGGCCTTGCCCTTGTCCCAGCCTCACTAAAGACTGCTCTGACCGCCTCCTCGCTGGAGGCGTGGTTCATGGCGACGTCGAGCAGGTCGCGGGTGGTACGGGGCTTCAGACAACCAAGCTTGTGGATCAAGGTCTCATAGGTTGTCCCAGAGGAACGCACTGATGACGTCCGTATCGACGACATCGGGAAGAGAGTTGCATCATTTTGAGAACATATGGATGTAATCCCATATGGACTCGTATGCTCTATGTAGCTTTAGAGTTACGGGAGCTCCTACGTGCGCTAAGTTTTAGAACGTATGCTCTATGTAGCTTTAGAGTTCTAGAGCTGTGAAGCTTGTTCGAGTGCTCAAAACGTCTAAAGCTAGCAAAGAGAGAGTCGGAATGATCCGTCTGTTCGTCCGTCTTTGTTGGGAGATGGCGCATCCCCTTTTATATATGAAGGGGACGGCCTTACAAGTAAGAAAGAGTATGTGTGAGAGAAAGAGAGCGTGTGTGCTACCTAGTCTTGTTGCCTACGCCGTCGGATACGAGACGGTTTGTCGGCGTCCATAATACTGTTGATGCCTAGATGCATGTGGTAGGCTCCATCGTGTTCTTCTGGTATGGCAAATGTCGGCGTCTACCATACTGTAAGACAAATGTCGACGCCCACAACATTGTTCGTTGTTTTGACATGGCCTGATAATACTGTCCTGCAGGTGTGCAAGTACAGTCCTCGGTATTGCGGTTGACATGAGTGCCTCGCCTGCTCCGCCTGATTTCTCGGGTCCTCACCGAACGAGTGTCTCTGGCCGGTCGTTCCCAATCGGCTCCGACCGTGCCGGTCGGAGAAGAGCCGCATGCGGTGTATTCCGGTCAGAGAAGCGAGTCGGGGTCGGAAGCGGAAGCGAGCGTCGTCCCTCCTTGGCCAGACCTTTCTGGTCGGAGACTGGATCGCTCCTTCGACCTGTCGTTTAGGTATCTGGACCGGCCCAGGAGTTAAGCGTCATTTGCAACGTCGTCTGCTGGGCCAAATTTTTACTGAGAAGCTAACCTATTAGGGACCCCGGGTTTATGAACCCGACATTTATGTTCAAGAGATCGTAATAACCTGTAACATTCTCTCCGTTACAAATTACTCCGTATAAGATATTTTAATTTTTTTAATATATAGTCTTTGTTATGCACTTAAATATGCACTACGTTTAAATTATAATAAAAACAATATATTTAGAAAACCAAAACCACTTATATAATATAAAATTAAAATAGAAGGGAGTAATCGGTGAACGTGCCAGGGTCACGCGACATTGCAATGTCACTCACGGACAAAATAATGACGTCTTTTCAGCGAAACAGTAGCTCGAGATGCGGCCGCTATACTTCTGTCCGCGGGCCCCACCCCCAGGCCCCAGCCCAGCTTCGGGGACTACGTGAACCGAGTCCAGCTGCTCTCGTGGGCGTGTGGCCTTCCGCCCTCCCCCGTCCTCAGCTTTCTCCACCTCTTCTGTAGTTCTTCTCGTGCGCCCTCACAGTAGAGTAGCTAGTAGGAGTAGCTCGCTGTAGTGCTGCCAGAACTGTCTCTCTCTCCTCTTGCTGCTTCTCGCTAGCTCGTCTTTAAAGCTGTCGCCTTTTGGCGCTCTCGGCAACTCGGCTCCTGTCTCCTCTCTCTCCCCTCCTCCTCCTCCCGAACCCGCTGGCTTCCTCGTCTGTCGTCTCCTTCTGTTTCGACAGGATCCGGCAACCCAGCGTGCGGGCGAGCGAGCACTGCTGGTTCTGGGAGGCATCGGTGGGCGGGTGCGCGCGTGTTTTGCAGTCGATGGCCGAGGTTCCGGGCACCACCGCGGGGGACGGTTTGCGCGGGGGTACGCTGTGACGCCGGTCAGCAGCTGGCGACGGTGCCCGTGCGTCTCTCGGTTGCTAGTGCGCGCGCGTGGAAAAGCTGAACAGGTGACGGCGTCATTCCCCAGAGCTCCGTTTTGCGTACCTCGGCGGTAGCCATTGCGTGTTCTTGCGATTCATTTTTGTTTGGGATTTCTTGCGACTCTGTCAAGCGATCTCTTCGTTGTGCTTTTATCTGCTTTTGCGTGGGAAACATGGGTGGGATAAATAAAAAAAATGCGGATTTGAACTGCCGCTTGTGGCCTGCAATCTCGTCCTGCGTTGCGGAATCGTGTGGTTCCAGCGTCGTTTCCCCGGTCCCCTGTTTCCGCCGCGGCTAATCGGCCACATTTGCGTGTTCTGTTTCTGCAGTGGCCGCCCTTTTCCCTCCTCGGTTTCAAGCCAAAAGCTGACTCCTTTGCGTACTTTTCTACGTTTCTTTGCCTGATGGATGGAGGGAGGGTTGTTAATCGCCGGCATTTTTTTTTCAGGTTAAATCATTTCCAACACCGATTTCGTTGCAATCTCGCAGGTTTTGATCGCTGTGAGAAGGTGGAATTGAAGGTGTGCGAAGGGAAGTGGTGGTCGGAGGCGGAGAGGACAGCTGCGTGTTGGAGCTTTTTCTTTCGGTGGTGCTCGGTGGCCGGGCAACGATGGCAGCAGCCGTAGCGATGCGGAGCGGGAGCAGCGATGGTGGCGGCGGGTACGAGAAGGGCGGGATGGACACAGGCAAGTATGTGCGGTACACGCCGGAGCAGGTGGAGGCGCTGGAGCGGGTGTACGCTGAGTGCCCCAAGCCCAGCTCCGCGCGCAGGCAGCAGCTGCTACGCGAGTGCCCCATCCTCTCAAACATCGAGCCCAAGCAGATTAAAGTCTGGTTCCAGAACCGGAGGTGAGCGCCCACCGTCTTCTGTCAACCAGTCAGCAAATCTGTGGGAACTTATCTTCGAGCAAGTGAATCTTGATGAATCCTGTTGTTTCTATATATCGTAATGATGCGATAGGTAGAAGTAGAAATTTAGCATGAACAACCCCAGATGGGGGGTGTTGTGCAAACCTGAAAGTCTGTTCCATGCTATTCTGAGCAAACGGCCAAAATGTAGTTTGTCTTCTTGATTTTGCCAGTCCTGTACATGCTGATTCTTTTTGTCCCTCTAGCTGAATTCTGCGTCCATTCTTTCATGGTGTTAGGTGCCGTGATAAGCAGCGGAAGGAGTCTTCGAGGCTCCAAGCCGTGAACAGAAAATTGACCGCAATGAACAAGCTTCTCATGGAGGAGAATGAGCGATTGCAGAAGCAGGTTTCCCAGCTGGTTCACGAGAATGCGTACATGAAGCAGCAGCTGCAGAATGTAAGCCCTGGTTTTGTTAACCAGAAGCCATATCGTGACATTTGTTTTGCATACCTGCATGTCCATTCCTGCCTTTTGTTTTTCTCCTCTGATACCATCTCTTCACTGTTTACAGCCGTCATTAGCAAATGATGCCAGCTGTGATTCAAATGTGACCGCTCCTGCAAACCTAAGGGATGCGAGTAACCCATCAGGGTAAATAAACCAAAGCTTGCCGTGAAACTTTCTCACTTTAGTAGGATTTAATAACATATTGTTTATACTAATCCTTTTCCCCTTTTGGGCCAGGCTCCTTTCAATTGCAGAGGAGACCTTGACAGAGTTCCTCTCAAAGGCTACAGGGACTGCTATTGATTGGGTCCAGATGCCTGGGATGAAGGTAGATTGATTAACTTTAGAGGTTCCAATGTTCCATGTTCTGGCATGAAAATTAAGTTGATTGAAACATGCTTACGTCGATCTCTTTTTCTGTGATTAGCCTGGTCCGGATTCTTTTGGTATTGTGACCATTTCACATGGTGGCCGTGGTGTTGCTGCCCGTGCCTGTGGTCTGGTGAACCTAGAACCAACAAAGGTAGCTTATGCTTCAGCACTTTGTTGAGAACTTAATATTACCTCAAGAATTTCTACTGTTGGTTTACATGAATACGCATTGAAACTCTTGTACCTGTATTATGCTATAGGGATTTTTCATCCATACCACTGTTTGAGGTGCACTCTTCATCAACACCACCAAGCTATCCGATGACACGTGGGTCTGGTTCTACATGTCATTGAGAAAGGCTGGTGGTATAGATGAAAGGTGTAGATCAGGCGGTGGTACAGACGATAATATTCCAAAGCTACAACTAAGCTTTATCTAGAATTATATAAGACGAGACTTAGAGAGGTTTTAAGTATCTCAACGCAAATTAAGCATTATGTGTGGGTTAAGATTGTGTCTGTGCTTGTTTGGTCAATTAACATCTTTAAAACTGGTGGATTAGGTGCCACATCAAAGTATTCTTTACCAAATATTCTGTTTATAACTAACTTGCCATGTTGACATTGATCAACATTTTCTGAAACTTTTTGGACATACAGTCTGTAAATTATCTGGGGGTTTCTTATGATTGTTTGCTTGATAGATTGTGGAAATCTTGAAAGACCGCCCATCTTGGTTCCGTGATTGTCGGAGTCTTGAAGTCTTTACAATGTTACCAGCTGGAAATGGTGGGACCATTGAACTTGTTTACATGCAGGTTAGCTATATTTCGCTGATCATTCCATTTGTTAAAGAATAATAGCGCTCTTATATGTAGTTTTTGGGTTTTCCTTCAGATGTATGCTCCTACTACTTTAGTTCCTGCACGGGACTTTTGGACACTGAGGTACACAACCACTATGGAGGATGGCAGTCTTGTGGTGCGTATAGATTTGAACACTTTGTCTTTGCTTGACTTGTTAACAAGGTAAATTGCTGAAATGTATTATTGTTTACTTTGTGTGTGTTCCTGTATGTTTCAGGTTTGTGAGAGATCTTTAAGTGGTTCTGGAGATGGTCAAAGCGCTGCCACAGCACAACAATTTGTAAGAGCCGAGATGCTTCCTAGTGGCTATTTAGTTCGCCAATGTGAGGCAGGGAGCTCGATTGTGCGAATAGTGGACCATCTGGACCTTGATGTATGATTCCCAAATTCTACATGCTTGTTACACCGATGTTAAATTTCCTTCTTCTAGTTACCAATTCAGTGTGACTGTATTTTACAGGCTTGGAGTGTTCCTGAAGTTCTTCGCCCCCTCTATGAGTCGTCTCGGGTAGTTGCTCAGAAGATGACAACCGCAGTGAGTTATTGCAACCTTTCCATATCTACAGTTATATCTGACATTCCATAATATAATTTGTAGCATGTGTAAAAAATGTCCACCTTTCTAATAACTCTTAAACCAATTTATATTGTATAACAAATTTATGTAGTAGTTCGAGGCTTAGTGTGTACAGAATCATATTGGATCCCTATATTAAGCATTTTCACACAATACACATGAGAAGTGTTGAAATCTGGCTAATTGTGCTATCGTGTTCCAGTGTTCTTGTTGTTTTTTTCTTTCTAGAATATAAATGAGATGATTCATGGACCTCAAGTATGTGAAGTTTGATTCATCATTCATTTATCACTGTGGGAGCTACTCTGCTTGAGAAAACACAACCATCTATGGTTTTTGTTTTCTGTTGTCTATACATGTAGCTCTTATTTGCATTTTTGGAGTGATGGATTTAGGCCTTGCTACGGTAATCTGGTTACCTCCTTAGGAGGTAAGACCTCAAAAAAAAAAAAAAAAACACAGCCCTTAATTTTTAGAAAATATGGAACAACTACATAATCAGGTAAAGAAAAATAAATTCCTAGGATCACAGCATGATGAGCGCACATAGGTCTGCACACAAATACATATTTTTTTGGTCCCCTCCCTGTTTTCTCTGAATGGGCGTGTTTGGAACCGATTATAATTGGATTCCTAGACTGCTGACTGCGAGAATCATAAACAATCATGCCAAACGCCCTGTGGTACAGATGATTATTTGATTATTTCAACTGCGGTAGACACAGCGATCGCAAGAATACACTATCGGTCACGTTTTTTGTGCTGCGAGTTATTGGGCGCATTTTGGATACCAGCGCGCTGCCGCACCATGGTCCCAAACATGGCCATCATCAGGTGAAGAAAAAAAGAAATCCCCCTCCTTCGTTTGGTCTGCATGATGAGCGCATAGATCCTCAAACAGATAAATATATGTTTTGCACTGACTTGAATCATGTTTGAGTACTTAAGCAGGAATCTGGCAAAAGTACTAAGCCAATTTCATTTCTACTCCCGAACTTGTGATCAGAACTATACCAGTTTCTTCCCTTTGTTGTGGATCACTGCTGAAAAAGTCGCTGCGGATTATGTTAGTTTTTTCTGTATAAAAATTGTGTTGACTAAGTCACTACTGATTTTTTTCATTTTACAAAAATAAACATGTTAGAAACTACTTTAGATCTCATCCACATGTCACATTATATCAAATAGGTAAGTTAGATCATGCATGTATATTAGATCTAATAGGAAGCTATTTTCCTTATTTCTCCTATTACCTCCTAGGAGGTAATAAATGATGATTTGCCTATGTAATTTACACTGTTTGTTGCTATCAAGGCGCTACGGCACCTCAGACAAATTGCTCAAGAAACAAGTGGAGAGGTTGTATATGCGATGGGGAGGCAACCAGCTGTTCTACGAACATTCAGTCAGAGGCTGAGTAGGTGAGTCTTAGATAACGATATTACTTCTTGCATCCTCAGCACCTTTCTTTGGGAGGAGCATGCTGTTTATTATAACATCAATTTTATTCGCTTCTAGAGGCTTTAATGATGCTATAAGTGGTTTCAATGATGATGGTTGGTCCATTATGGCTGGAGATGGCATAGAAGATGTTATCATTGCTTGCAACTCAAAGAAGATTAGGAGCGGTAGCAATCCTGCAACTGCTTTTGGAGCCCCTGGAGGTATCATCTGTGCTAAAGCATCCATGTTGCTGCAGGTGAGAATGCACTTATTTCACATAAATTAGTTACCCGTTTGCTATATAATACTACCTATAATAGTTAGCTTGGAATTTGGGGCCTAAAAGTATCGAGGCAGTAGTTCACTTTTAAATCTTGGTATGAATATATATTAAATAGCTAATTTGATGCCATACGAGAAACATATATATTTACCGACCTAGTATCATGAATTTATGAATTTCATTTGGCTGTGACTTATTTTGTGTCTGCGCTGGGTTCTATATAGTGGTATCGTTACACTAGTAGTTCATCTAAGTTTGCTTTGCTGGCCTTTAACGGAAACCATAAATACTGGAAGTTATAGTCAAGTAGATGAAAGCGTCTACCCTTGTGAACAATCTGTTGGTTCATTCAAATATATAGTTTGAACAACATGTTGGTTGATTAAAATATATAGTTGTGTCCTTACATATTGTTGTTTCATTGTTTGTTATTTCAGAGTGTTCCACCAGCAGTCCTTGTTAGGTTCCTGAGGGAACATCGGTCTGAGTGGGCAGATTATAACTTCGATGCATATTCAGCTTCAGCGCTGAAAACAAGCCCTTGTTCCCTTCCTGGGTTGCGGCCTATGAGATTTTCTGGGAGCCAGATCATCATGCCCCTTGCTCACACAGTGGAGAATGAGGAGGTAATGTTCAGTTCCTTCTTTGGAAACTTTAAGACTAGCTGCAAGTGCTGTTATCGTTCATGGTCTACTCAGTATTGGAAATATTTTAGATTTTCTGTTGCTTACCATTAGAGATTGTATGGCCTAACTACCTGTACAGACCTAGAGATTGTATACTTGTAACACAAGTTGTATGAAGCTATATATATTAACCCCCCTCCCTCTCAAAGAGTGGTGTTGCCCATCTCTGTCCCTCTAGATGGTACCATGAATCTGGGCTCCCAACACTTCGACTCCTTCCGCTGCCTACTTCCAATACTAATCTAGCGCTGCTGTTTTTCTTTCTGGTCATGTTTGCTGCCCTATCCATGCCATTGCATCCCACACCTGCGTTCACCTTCCCTTCATGCCGCATCTCTTGTGAGTGTGACCACCGTCCTGGTCACCACGTAAGCACAGCCACCACTAACCACAAGCCTCTGACATCATCAATGTATGAGATCGCCACCGCCCCATGTCCTCGTAACATCTGCATCGACCTGTCCTGCCTCATCTATGTGTGTCACCGTACGTGTGTTGCTGCTGCACCTACGTTCACACCAAAGTTCAAAAAAGCGCTAAGCGAACGGTGACCCGCCGCTTAGAGCTTAAGCGTACAAAGCGTCGCTTAAGCGTTTTGTACTGTAGCAAATCAGATTCATGTAATAAGCTGTAAACTTGAGAAGTATAAATAAAAACAGACCTTATTTGATCTTATTCCTAGACTTGTAGAGCTGAGCAATTGTTGGACTTGTACAGGTACAGCTCAGCAATTGTTGGTTTCATGTTGTAATGTTCCTAACAGTCACAGATATGGGAAACATCAAATGTTGATTAGGTTCATAAAACAAAAAATATACCTCATGATTAAATATTTATAAACAGATAAGGCGAATAGTAATGGCAAGAACACTACTACTTAGTTCATAAGAACATAACATTGCATCTGAAGTTCATAAACCATAGTTTCAGGTCCTACTTAGTTCCAAATTAAAAGATACATCATTGCAGCCCACTCATGAGCATGACAGTACAACACAACTGATAAATTGATAAAACATCAATGATGGCAATGCATAGATAGACATAACAAAAGATGCCATCATTCCAGCTGACTCATTCATCTTCATCCATGCCATCCAGCCCATCCTCATTGTCAAATTCCTCTTCTTCAAAATCAAATTCCTCTTCTGCATAGAGCTCTCTTATTCTTGAACTTAGACGCAGCTCTAAAAGCACAAAACAAAACAAGAAATCTGTATTCTACTAATCTGTACAACAAAAGCAGGGAAGAAATAGGCATAAACTAATCTAGCAATCCAAGACTGCACATGCGCACACCTATATGGAACTGGAGCCTAGCAGTAGCAGTGTAGCACACATTAGGACTCAAAGGAGGGGGAGGGAGGAGAAGGGAAGGGAGAACCAGAGTGGAGAATGGAGAAGCAGAGGAGAGAGGAGCAGACAGTGAAGAAGTCAAGCAGAGGCAGAGGAGCTCACCTTGCCGAGCGTGGGGAAGAGAATCGAGAGGACGACACCGGAGATGGGGGCGGCTCGAGCTCGACCTTGGGGAAGAGACGTCAGGCTTGGGGAAGAGACCGACAAGCTCGACCTCCTCCAGCGGCGGCTCGAATCAGCAGTCGGCGGGCGTCGAGCGTCGGCGGGCATCCCGCGTTGGTCTGCGGGCGGCGGCGAGAAGTCTCTTCTGCTTTTATCCCCTCCTCTCCTGCGCCCCGGATCGGGTTACGCACGGCGCGCGCCCGATTGGAACTTCCGCACGGCGCGCGCATCCATCTCCCGCGCTGCCTTTCCCGCCCGGTCGCTGGCTCGCTGAGCGGCCGCGGAGCGCAGGGCTTCCACGGCGCCTTTCTCCGCCTCAGCGGCTTCCGCGCGCGTCCGCGTCCGCTGGGCCGCTTATGGCCCGAAGCGAAGCGGCAGCCTCCCGTGTAGCGCTTCAGCGCGCTTAAGCAGCCGCTTAATACCGCTTTTTGGAACTTTGGTTCACACACCTCTCGGCATGTCCAGCACTGTGCCCTTGTGCCTGATCTGTGATCGCATGGCATGCTCACCTCCTGCATTATATTTTTTTATGTGTGTAATCAGATTTATATCCAGATCATAGTATTTGGACAAAATAATACATAATTTACAGGTGTGAAAGAGAAATTTATGTGTTCTGCTGCATTATATTTTTTTGATGTGTGTAATCAGATTGTTCCCTATCATAAATATGCAGATCTTAGAAGTTGTTCGGCTTGAAGGACAGACTCTTACACATGACGAGGGCCTTTTATCAAGAGATATCCATCTGCTTCAGGTAATAATAATAATCTGCTTTGTAGGGTTTTCACGTGCAGTCTTGTTGCCGGTTTGCTACAAATTGGTGCTAACATAGTTACAGTTAAAACAAATCATTACTAGGACTAATCACTTGATGAATATGGAATTTTACTGTGTCAATTTTAGGGTATTGATATGCCTGTTGGATTTCTCATTTCGTATGAGCCACGCATAATTATAGTATTGTAGGACTCCCTTATAAAAAAAGAACTATCAGAATCTCTGAGTTGAATATTTTTCAGCTTTGCACTGGAATAGACGAGAAATCAATGGGATCCTGCTTCCAGCTTGTCTTTGCACCAATCGACGAGCTTTTCCCTGATGACGCTCCATTGATTTCTTCAGGCTTCCGTGTTATCCCGTTGGACATAAAAACAGTTGAGTGTTTCTTACTTGTTTATCTGTTTGAGATAAAGTTTGTGCTCATTTACTTGCATCGCTACTGTAGTCATGCCTTGTCTTTTCTTGCCACCACAGTAATACATTTTTACATGTCTGTTATCTGCATTTAAACCACACTATTTTTCCCCACCTTGTTATGTTAGTATGTTTTCTATTTCCGCACGCTTAGCTTTTAAACATCTTTATCTTCCATTCCACAGGATGGACTATCCTCTGGAAGAACGTTAGATTTGGCCTCTAGCCTTGAAGTTGGTGCAACCACACAACAAGCATCAGCGGATGGATCTCAGGATGTTTGCAACCTGCGATCTGTGCTGACAATCGCCTTTCAATTTCCCTATGAAATACATCTCCAAGATACCGTTGCAGCTATGGCCCGTCAATATGTTCGAAGCATCGTCTCTGCTGTTCAAAGAGTATCAATGGCTATTTCTCCCTTCCAGTCTGGCTTGAATACTGGGCAGAAGATAATTTCTGGCTTCCCTGAAGCTGCAACACTTGTTCGCTGGATTTGCCAGAGCTACCGGTAAGTGTATTTGTCCATTTTAGGAACTGAGCCTAGCTCAGATGGTTAAGGCCTAAGAATGTGGATGTATGCTCACCACCCAAGTTGTTCCTAGGTCTGGTTGTGCATTGGTCCACTTTTTTTTTCTAGAACACTGCAGGAGACCTGAGTATTATTTATATTAAGAAGAAACATTGGTCCACTTTTGCTCTGTTCCTATCCAAAAGATTGTTTGCTGTAAGGGATAATGGTGGACTTTTATGATGGTAATGAGCTTTCTTCATGCTTGCAGGTATCACTTGGGGGTGGATTTGGTTAGCCACTCGGATCAAGCTGGGGAATCACTATTGAGAATGTTCTGGGATCATCAGGACGCAGTCTTGTGCTGCTCTTTCAAGGTAATTGTTTCTCTGTCATTCGTGTTTATCAAAACTGGTTGGTCCTTTGTTAGGATGTAATCTGATTCCCATCTGATTCTGTAGAAGAAACTTTTTTTTTTGTGCGATCTGTAGAAGAAACTATAGCTAACTTGACATGGCAAGACAAACATGACTTTTCTTGGCTCACATGTTTCTGTCCTATATTCTGTTAGGAAAAGCCTGTGTTTACTTTTGGCAACCAGATGGGAATTGACATGTTAGAAACAACTCTAATTGCTCTACAAGATCTCACCCTGGACAAGATCTTTGACGAGCCTGGTAGAAAGGCATTACACGCGGAGGTTCCGAAACTGATGGAACAGGTACACCTGCTGCTCTCACTGTCCAAAGGATGGCTGTCATGTTTAGGTGTTGGAAACAAATAATCCACCTTTTCTTCTCTGTTAGGGCTATGCGTACCTGCCGGCTGGGGTGTGCTTGTCTGGGATGGGCCGCCACGTCTCCTATGAGCAAGCTGTTGCGTGGAAAGTTCTCGGTGAGGACGGCAACGTACACTGCCTCGCCTTCTGTTTCGTCAACTGGTCCTTCGTTTGATGCAATCTCGGCAGGCGCCCTGTGCAAACTTTACGACCAGCATCCATTTTTGCATTCTCTGTAGATGAGAATGGTACGGTGTTGCTGTTACTGTTAGCTAGGCATGTAGTCTTGGGGAAAGCCAGTATTGTAAAGATGTTTGCCCTCGTTTCCGCTAATTTAACCTGCTGAACTTGCTGCTGTTTGTGAAGGCAAGGGGCACTCGTACTAGCTTGGCGGTCTTGGTCGTACCTTTTCTTTTTTTTATGCCTCAACTCTTCGAGTATAAGATGCAGACTCACGCAGCAACTCGTACCAGCACACACTCACACACTTATTTGTGAGAGTAAAGGCGGAGCAGTGACCAGATGGCTTTGAGTCAGCTGAGGCAATGAAGCAAACACATGGCATGAGCGGCGTGTGCCCTATCATTGGCACCTCTATGACTTACGGGCAGTCTTAGACAACTCGGAGAGCGAGAGATATATACATCAATCAAATAAGAAATCAAACCAAATCGTTTGAGGTTGGAGTTCCCCAAGTCTACGTATAGGACTATGGGTGCAGGGCAGCAGGCACATGTAGCCGTAGGCGACGGAGATGCAGTACATGGACTGCTCTGTGGTGCCTGGCATATAGCAAGACTGCACGATGCAGAGACCAACACCAACGCCGGACAAAAAAGTCAGCAGCGGCAGCGCACAGGCACACAGCCACACCGAGGCAGGCTACAGGCGCGCAGGCCACCGGGCGCAGTTGCGGGCTTGCGGCTACCTGCCTACCGGCTGGCGTCGGGGCCGGGCACGGCCGCGCAGGGCCGCCCGGCCGGGAGCGGGAGCCGCCGAGCCACGGAGGGCCGAAGCCAGGAGCGCTGGGCCGTCGCGGACGCGAGCGGCGCCACTGCCGCTGCTATCTATCGCCTATCAAGTCCATTCGGAGTGGGGAGCGGCTACCGTGTGCCTGCGACTGTTGCCCTAAGGCCTCTCCTCTCCATGGGCCAATGCAGACGGACCAGTCCCAAGGCCCACGACTCCACCAAGGCACTACCAGCCCGCAGAAACACTCGACCTCTCCTCTCGATGGCCAATGCAGACGGACCAGTACCAAGGCCCACGACTCCACCAAGGCACCAGCAGCCCGCAGAAACTCCGCTCGACCATCGGCTTCAACCTCGGCCTTGCAGTCACCGCGTCTGCCCTCTGCCGGTTGCGCTAGCCACCTTCGGCTCAGGGGTTGGAATTAAAGATGTCAACGGGACCCGATCCCCGATTCCCTGTGGGGAATTCTTCCATTAGGGAATGGGGATGGGGAGAAATTAATCCCCACGGGGAAACATTTGGTAGGAAGGCAGTCCCCGTCGGGGATAGCGGGGACGGGGATGGTTGCCTGGTCCCCGACCCCGATCCCCGCCAACCCGCCCCGCGAGGCCACGAAGCACGCAGCAGGCAGCGGTGCCGGCCCAAGTAAAGGGCCAGTAAGTCGCGGAGGTATATAACGCGCTGTCGGCCGTCCAAACCCTAATTCCTCACTCCTCAATTCCCCATCCGGTCATCCCGTCCTCCAGCCGAGCATGAGCATGGGAGGCAGCAGCGTCCGCGAGCTGACGGCCCTCCTCTCCGCGCTGCGCCGCGCGCGTCTCCAAGGCTCCAAGTCTCCAACACCCCGCTCACGCCGCACAAGCGCATAGCTCCACGCCCGCCTCCTCGTCTCTGCTGGCCCTCCCTCCCTCCTGAGGCTGCCCCTCTCCCTCCGACGGCACAGGCGCACAGATCTCTCCCAAGCCCATCGACGACGACGCAGGGAGGCTCTCCCTCCCTCCCGGATCCGACGGGGGAGCAGAGCAGTGGGCGACGGTGAGCGCGGAGTAGAGAGGGAGAAGGGGAAGCAGAGAGAGAGAGAGAGAGGGAGCTCGGCGGCGCTCTGTGGAGGTGGAGCAGAGGAGGAGAGGAGAGGGCGGAGCAGAGGGAGAGCACGGGCGACGGCGGCAGCCTCGGCTCCGGGGAGGAGGATGCCATATCCACCTACGTCGGGGAGGAGGATGCCAGATCCGTCGCCGGGGACGAGGTGGGGGCCGGATCTACCGCTGGGGACGAGGTGGGGGCCGGATCTGCCGCCAGGGACGAGGTGGGGGCCGGATCTGCCGCCGGGGACGAGGTGGGGGCTGGGGGCCGGATTCGCCGCCGGGGACGGGGTCGGGGCCAGATCCGCCGCCAGGGAGGAGGTGGGGTGGATCCACGTCCCCACGCGCGCCGCCGAGCGAGACGGGCCGCGCTCGCCACCATGGTCGAGCCGCGCCGGTGTGGTTGGAGGGAGAGGGAGGAGGGGCGCCGCCATGGTGGGAGCGAGGAGGGTCGCCGGCGTGGTTGGAGGGAGAGGGAGGGCCACCGAGGGAGGGAGAGAGAGAGTGGGGGGGGAGGGAGAGACCACGTGGGAGACTGGGAGGGGACTGCGCGGGCGAGCGGTGAGGGGGAGGGGTTGATGCAGGGATGGGGGATCCCCGCGGGGATTAAATCCCCGAGCGGGGACGGGGATGGGGAAGAAGTGCTCCTCGTGAGCCTTCATGGGAACGGGGACGGGGGAAATTTGCCCCCGCGGGGTCGGGGATGGGGCAGTAACCCCCGACGGGGAATTCCCTGTTGACATTGCGAGTTGGAATCCCGCCCGAGGGGAGGTAGGGTGACCGCCCCACTTCGCTATATGGGTAGGTCCGCCTCTGTCGTCACTAACCTGATCTCCATTCCCCTGTTAGTTGCAGCTCATTGGAGTTCGAGCCACTTGCTCAGAGTTTCCAATTCCACCGCTCGAGTCCTTGATCGCCACCACACTCCATGTTGCTCCGTGTGCTTTCCCGGACCACCCGTGCAAGCCTTGAGTGTCGTGGAACATATCCATTGCACCTCCACACGATTTTCTTTTACGAACATAACTCTCATACTACTTGTTAGAATGCACAGTAAAATCCAGACTCAAATGGATTCACCATCGCCAATGTACCTACATCCTCGGAGCATGACTACGGACGCTCCTCCCCATAAAACAATAACTATAAAGGCATATGGGTGCTCCCGTGGCTTCGCCATCGAGCTACCAAGTCGTCTCATGATTACAATAGGGTTGCCTCATATTTGTGGCACCCTAGGGTATGTATAGAGTTTGACTCCGACTCTATCTAGCCCTAATACAAATTAAGTCGTAGCGTAACCAAATTGTACACATATTCGAGACTTATCTAACACTAATTAAGTTCCTCAATGAAATCATCTATCCACAATGGAAACTGCATACCTCTATATAAATGAAATCAGTACTGTCTTCCAAACCATCACATTTATGTGATCTACAATATCAGATGATTTGGATTCGAATTTGCTTCACTAACAATAGCTTTGACTACATGGGGAGATCTGCCACAGGGAGGGGGGGGGCTTGAGCCCCTCCTACCTCGGTCGCACCATTAGAGTCGCCGCTTAGCCCCCATAGAATTTTCGGCCATTAACACTAGGGAAGCAGGGCCATGGGCGGACATAGTGCTCCTTCAAAAACATTGGAATCCTCCACAACGGACAATAATCCTTTCTTTAGGTAAGATTTGAACCACATATGTAGAGATAATAACAAAGCAGACAACTCACCCAATATGCAGAGCTCGTGTTCTGTTGTTTCGGAAAGATTAATAGTGTTTAAATATTTCATATAGCGCTGGTGAGATCTACTTTGGCATTTTTAGGAAATAAAAATTTGAGGTCATCCAAAATCTTTGGAGAGAGAATGGCTGAGGGGACCAAGAATCTAAGAATTCCAAAGTGCTAGTGTCGGTGTTTTGGAACCGGGGGTCCCTCAACCAACGAGTGAATTTGTGCTGCGTGCCCCTAATCCCGGATGGTGGCGCAAAGAGACACAAGGTTTATACTGGTTCAGGCAATCGAGGCCCTACGTCCAGTCCGAGAGATCGATCTTGTATTCCTTGCACCGGAGTGCTCGTAGTAGGGGGTTACAAGCTAGGTGAGAGAGGGAACTAGCCCCAGGTCTCGGCGAGTGTGGTGCGGGCTGCTTGAGGCGTTGTTCCCAAGCAGCGTAGGAGTGCGTGGTTCTATCGGCGTGTTCGTCTTTCTGGCCTCCTCCCCAGAAATGGCCCCAGTCCCTCCCTTTTATACTCTAAGGGAGGACCGGGACCGTGCACAGGGTGCTACATAGCGCTTCTGTAAATGGGGTGGCGTGTCCGAGCCCTGTAGTTGGCCAATGTTGTGGTATGGTTGATGGAGTGGCCCCGTCCTTGTCGTGCGGAAGTGACATGCTGGTCATACTCGGTCTTGTGCGTCGTGGGGCTCGATGACGGCTTGATGCGAGGACATGGCGGGCGACGTCTTTGGTCGCCGTGTAATGACGTCGTGGGGAGCAGCGGCTCTGCAGATGTCGAGGCCGAGCCATCGTGGGGGGGCTCGGTGGTCATGGACCCTCAGTTGCCGAGCCCGTGAAGCAAAGCTGTCGAGGCCTTGGGGGGAGTTATTGGCCCTGGGTACGATTCCGAGGCCACAGTAGCCCAGACGTGGCTCCCCATGCTGCGTTGTCCTTGGAGCAGGAGTTGGCAGCACAGTGAGGCATGGGTGTCAACCATGTGCACGGTGGATAGCATAGTGACGGGTAACCCCTGCCCAGTCCGGGGGACGTGCAGGTCATCGCGTGATGACGTCGTAGGGGGCTGTGGCTCTGTAGGTGCCGAGGCCAAGCCATCGAGGGGCTTTGGCGGACATGGGTCCTCAATTTGTCGAGCCCCCTGGAGCAAGCTGCCGAGGCCTTGGAGGGAATTATTGCTCACAGGTGCGATTCCGAGGCCTGATAGCCGGATGTGGCTCCCCACGCTGCATTGTCCTCGGTGCAGGAGTTGTTGGCGACATAGTGAGGCATGGGCGTCAACCCATGTGCACGGTGGTTAGTCTGATGGCGGGTAACCCCGCCTTGATCCCCGCCTCTGTCCCATCGGCCATTCTCATCTTGTGGGCATGCATGCGTTGTTGTCGAGGGCGCAGCAGCTATTGAGTTGATTGATGCTGACACGTTTTGCGGAGGGACGGGGAGAAGGAAGAGGTAGCGGAGTCTCTGCGAGCGAGCCCGCCTTGCGCGAGACGGAGGGTCGGTGGCCTCGGCCGAGGCCTTTGGCGGGGAATCGACCGAGGGCCATGGTGAGGGGGCCTCAGGCGAATCGGAGAATCAGTGAGGTCAGCGGTGGTGATGAGGCCTCGGGCGAGTCGGAGAATCGGCCGAGGCCCATGTGATGGGGCCTCGGGCGAGTCGGAGAATCGGCCGAGGCCAGCAAGCGTTATTTGGTTTCGATCTTCTGAAATCTAAGCGGTCGTTTTTGGATCTTGCTTAGGGTACCCCTTCTCACGGTATCCGACAAGTAGCCCCGAGCCTTGGGGAGTGGAGGCACTCCCCCGAGGTTACGACGAGAATTGGCTCTTGATAGCTCCTGTCGGGATGGTGTTTTGTTTTCGAGGTTTGGTGGGGTGCTGTGGCACTCACGGGTGTAGTTCCCCGAGGGCCTGGAGGAGTGATTTCACTTCTTGAGGGCTTTTTTCTCTTCAGTGAGGCGTTTTGATCGTGTTTTTGCGGGCCCGTGGGTGCGAGTTCGGATCATGGGGCCTCGGCGATGTTGCGGAAAGAGCCCCTTAGCCTCCACTTTGGGCGAGAGGGCCGTCGGGGGGTTCTCCCGGCTTTTTTGTACGACCCTCGTGCTTCCTTTTTCGCTCGGAAGGAGGGGTGAAAGATGCCATGCCACCCTTGGTGGGCGCGAGCGATGGCATCTCCGGTGAGCTGTTATCGGGTAAGTCCAGTGGAGGCCCGTACCCGTTCATTTGGGGTCGGCTAGCGGTCCGAGACGCGCTCCAAGAATCTTGGAGGGTTTCTCTAGTGGGTGCCGAGGCCGTTCATTTGGGCCTCGGTGGCTCGGTGCCTCCCTACGGTGGGATCCCATTGGAGACCTCCCTACCGGTCTCGGACACAACACAGGCGTGCTCAGACAGGCTCGCCCGTAGTAAATCCTGACTCTTTTGCCCTGGGCATTGCCGAAACCCCAGGGGCCTGACTTTGAACCCCTGGACCGTAACAGGATCGGGTCGCTTGTTTTTATCTTGGGTGCGGGAAGAGCCCCGAGCCTCCGCTTGACGGAGCGAGAGAGGGCGGTCGGGGTCCTCCCAACTTTTTGCCCGTCCCCCCGA